CTTCCATGTAGACAAGGGAAGGGGGGGGGGGGGGGGGGGGGGGGGGGCGGAATATTGTGTGAAAGCAACAAAAAAGCATTCACCACAGGAAGACATTCAGATCCAATGAGCTCATTGCCAGTCAAAAAACTTCCTTACTAAGCTCAGAGTGTGTCTGTGTTGCTGTGACTGTATGTAAAACTGTACTCTGCAGTTCTGTGTGAAAAACCCGAAGTCCGCTGGCAGGAGAGTTGGGGAGCTGCTCTTCTTCCTTTTTCTTACCGTATCAATAATTTCTTCACTGAGAAATGAGACACAAGATCTGCCAAAACATGCCTTAAATCTATCGAGTGAAGTGCAAAGGGAAACGGCTTTGTTGTGGCTTTCGTTGGATCAGAGCATTCATTTTTTGGATTCCCCGAAAGGAGAAGGAGTTCAAATAAAATGGACGGAAATGATGTGAAATTATTTGCCAAGCTCCTCTGAGAAAATTAGGAGACGGGAGAGAACGTCCGTTTCCAGCATTCCCTTCATTTCCCCTTCAGCTGAGATTAAGTGTACATCCCGTATGTGTATGTGCACGTTTGTGTTTGTTTGCTCAGTTGGTTCAGTCGGGATGCAGGTTGTGCATCCTGTCGACGGACTTTGAGGAAAAGCAGAGATAAATGTTTCACTTATTCATAAAGGTCAGTTTCTGACAAAGGCATGCCTATTGGCCTAATCTGTATTTTTGTCTTGTCTTGTAATATTTTGCTTTTGGAGATGTCCACTTTTAGAATAAATCATCCAGGAAAGTACCACAATTTTAAATGTAAGCCTTTTAGTATCGTTTTGGTTCCCTTGATGGGCATGTCATGAATACCAAAGATCATAATGCTTTTTGTGGATTTCTTACTGAATTTCAATGTCAGCATTACAATATCACCTGCTTTAGTCTTCCAGTGAAACAACCTGCATGGAAAGCTTGATGCAGTTTTGTAAAACGGACATTCAGAGCTGCGTTTCCCACCCAGCTAAAAATCACAGCTTACATCAACGGCATTTTTTTATTTTTTTTTATGCTTATGCAACTTCAACTCTCATTTATTTGGCAGGATCAGCGCAGATGATTAATGTTTTGTAATTTATCACTCACACATGGTATTGTGAGTGGATACGATGCGCGGTGATTTTTTTTTTCTCTCTCTCTTTTTTTTACATATATTTATATTGTTGGAGCTCTGCTTCAAACATGATGCTCGCCACAGTGGAAGGTGCCTATCATAAACTTGCATTATAAAGTTCTGTGTGTATTCTGCGACTACCACAAGGCTGTGAAACTGAGAACACAGCAGTCATTAGTGGGGAGTGGGGCAATGAGAGACCGAACACATGGAGGATGAAGCTGCCACCCACACAAGCACACAAATACACACATATCTGCAGCTTGAGTTCATTGGGGTCAAACTCAGCACTGTTATTCCCCATTGGCACTGATCACAGTGTAAATATAGGTTTTAGTCTGTGCAACATTAATTACTTCGGGCTTCTCAGCTCCCTTTTTGTGCTTTTCTGCCCCACGTGTTGTCCTTTTACTGTCTTTCTAAATGCTCCGTGTATTTTCATGCTAAGCCTTCGGCCGTACTTAAGACGTAGTTTCACAAAGTATTAAAATTTTCTGTTTTTCACAGTGGTTCACAACTGATGGGATATGAGGAGATCACACAAACTACAAGTGCATAAGCCTCTTATGACGATTGCATCACAGTGAAAGTGTCGGCAGGATTAACCATAGATGAATCCTGGTCTGAGTTTGTTTTTTTTTCTTTTGTTGTTTTTTTGCAAAGCAATCCATTTCATTGGCAAGACTTCATCGACATTTTGCGAACCTCATGAACCCAGAGGTGCACATGGGAAAAGCTGTGATGTAAAAGACACACAACAACTTTGACTTGGTCATTGAGATGTTTGTGTTGTGCTGTTGTAGCAGCACACTCTTCTAACTACAGTGGCGTTTGCTGTTATTTCCTTTGTGGTTGGAATCAGGGATTGATTAAACAGAACGATTTGGCCTTGTGATGCTGTGATGAGAATATCCTCGTCATTGAACATATTGATCATGCCGGCTATGAGGATGCATGAACCCAAAGCCAGATATTTACATGCACTGGCTAAACACATTAGTTTTTGTCAATGATTTTAAACCAGGATCTGTTTTCTGGTTTAGGTAGTTTGCTAAGATTTTTGGCCCATTCCTCCTAGCAGAATTGCTTTAAGTTTGTAGGTCCCCTTGACTAGCCACCCATTTTTAGCTTCGGCTACAAATCTTGTTTGCCGTCTTTGATTGAGAACCCTTTGTGTTCTAATGCATTGTGATGTCAATTTCTTTTTCTTGTATTTTTATTTTAGAGGTTTCTTTTGATCAGCATAATAGAAACTTAATCGCAAGACATGAAGTCATTAATGGCGGTAAATGCTCTAGACCTCTATGTTTGTGCAGATGCTTCCACACTATCAAATTCAGTTTGTTTCGATTTTCTTAAGATTTTGTAAACCACTTACAGTTTTTTTTTTTTTACACCACACAAGGTAAAGTCAAGCAGATAATCATGTAAAGGGTTGACATGAGATTCATGTCTTGCCTGAAAATGCTTTAATGTCTGGAGATACTTTGGTTCAAATCTTTAATCCAGCAGATATTTTACTGATCTAATCCAACTGACTTCACCTGATTGGTTGAAACCAGTCGATATTTGGACACTTCAGCTGTTATTACATAATCTCTCCCATACGTAGTTTTGACTAATCTAAATCAGGGACACTTGTAGCTACACTGTTTTCAATAAACACAAACACTCACCCACATGGTTTGCATTAGACTCAATACTTTGTTTAAAATAAGCCACATTTTAGTCTTGTGCTGGCTTTTAATGTGGAGAATAACTTCTTCATGCAAATACCCTGTAGAGAGCAAATTTTGAATTATGGTATGCATCTTCCCTTCTTTATTGCTTACAAGATGGAGTCACCAGCTGAGAGCCAGCTGTGTCTTTACTTCAGCTTTCACCGTCTTCGCCGCGGGTAAAACGATTCCTGGTTGCTTGCCGAAGAGCTAGCTCATTTTTCTAGGTGGATGTTCTGCTGAAAGTACAAAGTGGGGAATATAACACATACTCTCATGCACCATATGCATTTGCGCTTACTCGCATTGTAGACTGGGACCATGACTGGAAAGTAGCCTTCCAGAAACGCTGGAGTTTCTTGCAGTAACTCTAGCCAGCAAATACTTTTTCACTCCCAGTAAATGCTTCAAAGTTGGGACTACATCCTATTAATCATAGATTGCTTCCTTTAGTTTTTTTTTGTTTTTTTTTTTTTAAATAAGTTGTCAAAAGCATTGTGTATCTTAATAAATAACACCCTTGACAAGAGAATGTATGAAAATCATGTTTCTTTTTTTCTCTAATTATCTTGAAAAGTCAGCTGTCCATTGTGTTTAAAGCAAAATAACACAAAAATTAAGATGAAATGAGAATGACACAGATAATACAATGAGCCAAAGTCTGACACTGGAAATTAGCTAATTCACTTGGGACTAAATGGTGCCGGAAAAGCCTCTGTTGCGGAGATATGGACTAAATTAAATATCTGCCTCCATAGAGGAAAGGAAAAATAGGTCTGAGTTTTACATCTGCCCTTTAAACTGGGACACACAGCCGATCATAGCTCTATACAAATGGCGGACACGCAACTGATGGATCAATAAAGTGGACTGGCAGCTGAGTGAGAGTCCCTAAACAAATCTGCCCTGTTTTTACAAGCTACATTGTCTTTTGAAAGATTTTTTTTCTTTAAATCTAAACAACAGCAGCATCCGTACTCGAGCCTGATGGTTTATTTAACGTAAGGAACTCTTCAGGAGAGCAGTTCCTTTGAGTTAGGTTGACTTCAAAACAACCTTCACCTTCATATGGGAAAGCTACCCTTACAAATCTTATCCTCACTGATCAACAAAACTTTATTTGAATTCTCCTTTTTTTTTTTTTAATTAAGTCCTTTCTCCTTAAATTTCCCCAACATAACCAGAGTTTCTGCTTCGCAGTAATGCAAATGATTCTTTTCATCAGGGTTCAAACAGTAAGGCGTCAGGAATGGGAAGTGTTTGGCTCTTGAGATCGTCTGGCACTGAGCTGTCCTTTTTCATCTCCAACTCTTATCTTCTAAAGAGCCAAAAAGTTTGAGAAACCACAAGGGCCCCGAGTCCATCTGCTTACTGATACAGCTGAGAAAGTTCACCTGGCAAACTGAGGATCTACATTCTTGGGCTTCAAAGCTTTGTGTCTCATCCAATTTGGACGAACAAGTCGCTGTTTCTCAGGCTTGTGAAACCGGCGAGTGATTTGTTCAGTGCAGTCAACATCAAATGAAGATTTGTCCAACCGTTTTAGTTTTCCCATGTCGTAGTATTTCTCCTGGGTTTGTTTTTTACAGTACGTTCTGCTATTTTCAGTCAATTTGGAGCTTTTTCAGAGAAGATAATAACTTTTGACAACAGCAATCATGATACCTCTCCTTATTTGAAGAGGACATGTCATGCAAAGTCTACTTCTTTTTGTCCTGGAGGGGATTGGGGTCATGAAAGGTCTCATTCACATTAAAAAAAAAAAAAAAAGAAGGGAAATGAGTTAATCCAAAATGCACCTCAGAACAGGGGGAAACAAGGGGCCACAATAACAAGGAAATCAGACCGAAACATTGAAGTTCTGCTCTATAGAGACCATAAATAAATGATTCACATATGAAGAAGAAGGATTTAAAAGCATGATATATCCACTTTAAATGTCTAACTCATTTCTATCCTCAATATTAAGCTGAAATTATAGATAACGCAGTATTAATCTTGCTGTGTCATTCAGTAAAACATGTCAGTGCGAAGGTGTTTAAGGCAAAGACCACACTGATGACAAAAGACACGTGGCTGATTTTTGAGTGCAGCTGGAAGAAGGCAAACAGGTAAACGAAGGAGAGGTGAAAAAATGGCAAAGGAGTTAAATACAATCTGAAATGATCTAGAATCTAAAGAGGAAAAGTCTGATTTGGCAACATCCTAGAAATAACATTTATGAACTAGAGAAAACAAGACTTTTTAAACATTTGAACAATAAAAGTGCAAACACAAATGGAAACCGAAGCCCAGCCGCCCCAGGATTGTGACAGAGCTTGTGGTTTCGCACTGGCACCAGTTTGGTGGAGAAAACCCAATAAGCTGAATTTTATACAGTTTTAGTGGACATTTAAAGTCGTTTCTAAGCAATAGTAAAACGGGTCGCTCTTTTACAGTCCACCGTGTGAAGAGGCTCTCAAGCAGCTCTGAGAAACCAGCTAATCCAACAGCCGCACCTCAGCCTCCTGGCCATCATCTGCATTAAAAGATATAAGAACCTCTAAGCAGTCATGCTCTATCAGCAATTACCAAATCTAATATCTGGAAAAAAAAAACAAAAAAAAAACTCTGAAACCTGAAGCCACTGACTGCGTATTTATTCCTGAGCTGTTCCTGTGGTCTTACTGTAGTGATGGGTTTCTGTAATCTGATCACAGAACTCCTCCGTCTCGCCCTTCACGATCTGTCCGTGAAAAACTGATTTGACTTTGCAGCTGATGTGACTGAGAAGTGAAGTAAATGAACTTCCTACTATGTTGCACCTCTACATGTTTCTTAAACGACTGTTTTAACTTTGCTCAGACATTCAAACTTTATACGATCACAAAAATAAACGAGCAGTATTTCTACATTGTTTTCAATTTAAAAGCTGTTGTTTGTTAAAAGAATATCTAATGGATTATAGTGGATTAAATGCAATCTAGGTGCTAAAATCATAAAGTCGAGGCAAAATTTTACCTTGTTTCTTTTTTTAAGGCGTCTCTGGAAATCAATATTAATCTAACTCAGTTTTAAGCCGCCTTTGTGTGCAGATCTGCAGAGCAGCCAGGTGGTCTGACGGAGGGGGCTAATCTGTCTGCTAAGATCTCCCTCTGCTCCTCCATTCTGTCTGCCTTTTTTCCCTTTAAATATTTAATCAATCAACAGTCCTACCCCCTCGTCCTCCTCCTCCTTTTACTTTTCCCTCCTTTCTTATCTCTAACCTGAAGTGGCATGGTCTCTTTTGGTTTGGCGTTTCTCTGTCTTTGCCCTTTTTGTTCATTGTTCGTGTTTCATGTCTTCCCTCTGGACATCTCTTTCACCTCGTGTCTTTAAGCCTCCCTCCCTCGGTCACTCCGGGTGTGAAGCCCGGCTTGCATCATTATGCTCCAAAAAGCACAGCCAGAAGCTCCTCGGGGAAAACGGGCAGCAAACACATGGGATATTATTAATTTAGACCATCTTTTTGGCGTTTGGTTGAATGACCTTTTGAAGGCAGAAGAAAGAAGATGTCTCTTATTTGTGTTTGAAAACGAGCTGTGGCATGCATGCAATTTTGCTGGTTTGTAGAGCTGCTATCTTTTTATTCTGCGGCAGCAGGTGGATGGATTCCAGGACACCCACTCCTCTGTACCTGTACATCCATCTACTTATAAGTGCCTTTCAGCAGTTTCTGTTTCCTGTATTTTTTGCTTTGCAGCTGCTTAATGGGCTTGGCTTCCCTCCTAAGAGCTGCTCTTAGCTGCGCTCTATGCATCTACTGTGAACACAGAAGCATCTGAAGATCATAGATAGACACTCCAAAAATTCATACTGAGCAGACTCTTAGAAACGTTCTCCATTGCATTTTCAGCTGTTTGCAAAAGGTTGGATTGATTTTTTTTTTATTTTTATTTTTTTATGGTGTTGCCACTGTAATATATTCAAATCAATCCAGTATTCAAAGCTGGATACGTTTAAGTGGCTCTGACTTCTCCTTCCAGCAGATTGAATTTCATACAGACTCAAATAAATTATTACTTTTCCAACATTCCTGAGCCAGCCATCTGGAAAATTCAACAAAACACCAGATGGAGATATTCATTTGGTCCTGCTAGGTCAATTATCTCACTTTTTTTTTTTTTTTTCACGCATTGCTGTGAGGGTACTTATAGGCACCTCTTCTAATTATAACTAAACTAAAACTATAACTAACTAGCATGGGTTAAGATAAATAAAATGAGACATTAAAATATGCAGGTTAACATATTTTAAAGACTCATTAACACACATTATAGTGAGAACATCCTGAGCAGCACCTGCAGCTCTTCACATCTTCTGGCAGCGTTGGTTTGGTTTGGTTTGTTGCTTCTGCAGAGTAACATGATTATCCAAAGGTACAATAGACTCTTCTGTGGAGATTATTCTGAAAAATTTAAAACCATTGAAACTTTTATAAACTGAGAACAACTTAAGATGGTCAAGGCTCAGAAAATTGTTTAAATTTCTACCACAGCGATGCTGTCCAGGCTTTTGAAAGGTCAATATCAGAAGTCAAATTCATATTGTTGTGGCAAGCACAAAGGGATCAACACGAAATACAGTTGTGAAACTGAAGTGAGTAAATGCGAGGTTGTAATGTTTTTAGACATGAAATGGACTGACCTTTCTGCATCAGTATTTCGCTGCCGTCTTAGTAAAAGTTTGCCGTGTAAATCTTTAGCTTCATCTGTCTTTTATAACTGCAAACACCCTGTCAGGCATTACCATAGCAGTGTAGGAAACGCCGCAGCACTTTCATCTGCGATACTTCCTGTTTGACTCAGTAATCGGAGCGCTCACTTCACACACAATTTCGGCCAAGTGAGTCAATGGGATATCACTGGTTTTTGTAAAATTTGCTCCTCGCTGAGACATTAAAATGACTGAACAGGGTCGGACCCAGGGAAGAAGAACAAAAGACGGAGCATGACATGCTGGCATGACAGGCTTTAACTGCGTCTGAGTGACAAGACATGAAGTCACCCTGCAGATTTCTCCTTTGTGCCTGCTGAATGTGGGCTCAGATGGCTGGACTTCCTCCTTTGGCACCAGCATTAAGGACATTTTTATCAGAGAAAACTGGATCCTTTCAGCAGTATTATTGCTGTTTGAATGGCCCTTTTTAGGATTCATAATGAGTCAGTATGACACCGTACACTGGGTATAGTTTATTAATAAAGGACATGCTTGGTGCTGCCAGTCTGGTTGGAAATAACCAACCAACCACTTGCACTGAACGTATAGAATCACTTTTTGCCGGTTGCAGAAGTTAAATGTGTCATTTTCTATTTTGATTCCTTCGCTTTTTGATGAAGAAACCAGATCTGTTTGGAAATCAGAATAAAGATCTAAAAGCTTTAAACTAGACAAGTAAAGTGTTTCAGCAGCAGCAGCAGCAGCAGCGTCTTCAGGCGACACATAAAAACACCCAATAAACACTCTGCTCTCTGGAGTGCTCAGCCTCGAAGACATGACTACTGCATAACTAGATGCTGGTGCAAACAGACAACACATGGACGCAGAGCTGAAATTCACCCCATATGTGCAACACACGAAGATAAAAAAAAAAAAAAAAAAAAAAAACCTGCCGGGCCAAATTCACGTCTCAGACAATCATCACGGGATGCAGAGCTCACTGCAACACCTGCCTCAGCATATCGACCCGACCCAACCGGCCGGGAGTCGGTGGACGTTTCCAGAAGCTTCTTTGTTGGTTATGAGTGGAGAGTTTAAGTTAGTGAAGACAATGATTCGCTCAGCAGGCTTCAGTTTAACTTTTTTAAATAGGAGTTTTTGCAGTGACATGTTTAGGACGCACAAGTTGTGTGTAGATAATTTTTTCTTTTTTATAATTTGGTTAAAATTGAACAACTGTTCCCTTTGAAATCACCTTTTTAAATCGGGCTACACCCTAATTCGTCTCCACCAGACCAAAGCTACTTGGATTTATTAGCTTACTAATAATTAAGCCAACAAATACCATGTTTATTTACATGTTTTATTTTCTTTCAGCCTCTTTCTTTATGTTGGATGGCTCATAAAAACCTTATTATAATAACTGAGTTTACAATTTGAGACATTCATGTGAGAGCACTTTTTAATCATTAGAAGAAAAATGGGTTGCATTGCACTGTCTTGCAGTGAAATATTTTATTTTTAAATGAAATTCGTAAATAACAGCAACAAGGTTTCTATGTTTCTATCTGACTGAACTGATGAAGTCTGACTTCTTGGTAGCAAACTACATGAAATAAGGGCTGGGGAAAAACTTTAACATGTTATTGTACATCAACCAACTTGTTTCATTCTACATTTAGTAGCTATCGCCATCTTTAGCTGTGATCAATTTAAAAAATAGGCCTCTGTAATTCTGCTTTTTTGCACTCATGTCGTTCCTGCCGAGGTCAACAGAAGATCACATCCGTCGTTACTACATTTACACAAGTATCATATCAGTGGTAGAAATAGTTGGGAAGTCTAGCTCAGACATTCACAGAGAAAAGTGAGCCGAAAAACCAAGAGTGTTCCTGGAAATCAGCCAGGAAGGCCTTGTGATTTCAAACACGCAGCGGGGGGTGGGAGAGGGAAGAGGATGAATGGCTACTACTACAGAGCTGCTGCTGCTGCTGCTGCTGGAGACGACTGAGTGGCAGGATGGGAGAGAGGGCTGAGAGGAAGAAGGAGGGGGTGCGTGCCCTGCAGCTATCAGCACTAGTAGGAGGAGAAGAGGGTGGGAAGAGCTTAGAGAGCAGGGGGGGGGGGGAAACATGAGAGAGTACGAGGCAGACACAGGCCGTCTGCGTACATTTGCAAGGTAGGAAGGAAGAGTGGAGATCTGAGCTGCTCATTTAGAAAGGAGGGCGGATATTTGCAGCCTGACAAGGATACAGAGACAGAAGAGCCACTGCCAGGACAAGGGGGAAGGTAAGGGCGGCACTTTCAGAAGCCTTAGTGATTTCTTTAGTGATGTCAAAAATGAGAGGTTTTGCCAAAAAAACAAAAAACAAAAAAAAAAAAACATCAGGGTGCAACATCCAGCCTGTGGAGAAAACATTCAGCAGAGTTAAAAAGGCCCCAGGTTGAGCAGGAAGCTCACAAGTCAGAAATCTTGTGATGGGATGGATGCAGATTCATCTGGCCTCTGTTTTTGAGTCTTACATGCCATCGCTCATGATCTGTTTTTTTGTGCCTCCTCTGCTGCAAGTCCTCGTGAGATAGGGAAGACACACTCAGACAGAAGTGCTCTGTGTGCCAGAAGCCAGTGACCAATGAATGAGCATCCTTGTAAGAGAGAGCGAGCTCAAAGCAGGCGAGTCTGCTCTGTCCGGCTCCTCCAACCGTCCCTCAGGCTAATTTCTGCTGCTCTTCTGTTCTTCATTAATTCCTTAGCAAGCTGCCATTATGCTGCCAACGCAGACAAAGGTCCAGATCAGATACTATATATCAGAATGGGATGAAGATGAGATGTTTATGTGTTTAAAGTGACCACCAAAAGTAAAAAAATAAACAAGTGCTTGAAATTTAAGAGGCCACTTTAGAGATTATGTATTTTCTGAATGTTACTTGTATCTAAAAGAAACAAAAAGAAAACAGGAAACATCGAGCTAAGACTTGATGTATCATCCCTTAGCTGACATTATTTCAGCTGAAAGCTCCTTAGGAGTCATTATATTGGTGCCAATACTATTTTTGTTGGCTTAGGAATTGTTCTGTAGATTCAGCTAATAAATTGGGATCAAGCTGCGTCGTTGTGACTGACTGCTGATTTAAAAAATACACTCCCCAAACACCCAGTTCAATGTTTCTGTGCCTCAGAGAGTCAAAGATCAAAGGTAAAGGGATGGTTCAGTTTCTGAAATGTGTGGTTCTGTTGAAATGTTATAAGCAGTCATTATCTTATCAGCAGTAGATAAAGCGCTTTGTTATCTTTAATTGGATGAACCAGAGATGAGTTTTTCAGCTACTCAAGAGGAAAATGACTTTTTCTCATGTTTAAATGTAAAAAAATAAATAAATAAATTTCAATCATTTCACCACATTTCATTTTTA